ATACGAAACAAACTTTTAATATGGTAAACATGATGTGATTCTATATGAAGAAATAAAGATACCCCAAAGAAACAAATTTATCTTTCTGAAGTTTAAAAATGAAGAAAAAAAATTTAAAAACATCAGAAATATCCCACTGGGTCAAACTAGAGGTGTTATTCTAGTTAGTGTGTCTGTATTGGTTCAAACAGGGGATTCTATTTAAGAAGCACATGAACCCTCCTGGTTGTTCACTTTTGTTCTCTTTGTGCTCTCCCAGCATCAATGTTCTTTAGGTTAGCAACCCCAAAGTATACACTCTTGCTTGTTCCCTTCAGTATTTCTTTATGGACCTGTTGTCTTTGGATTTGTCTAGTCACATATGAACCTGCTGGCTATGTCTGCATCTATTCTGAAAGTCCACAAATGCCTTTTTTTTACTCTCTTTCAAGTTGTTCCCCTATGTCTTTCATTAAATGCTCCCTCATTAGCATGCTTGGGAAGCTCTCGTCCTAAAACCTTGCAAAGGCAGAACCAGAGAGGGGAAAGCACTCAGATACTTGTGTGAGATTTCCATGCATCAGATCTTGCAGAACTTTGCATTTTATAATCCAAAGAGGGTGCCTTCAGAGTTTTTGGGAAGAAAATTACTGTGATACAGTGAGACAATCCTTGTAGTATTCACAAAATTGGAATCACCTCAGCATTTTTGCCTCCTTAGGCACACCTATGCAATGTATAGGAAAGAAGGATTTTTTTCTGACTTTAATTCACAGATGTTTTGTGGTAAATTCCACAGCTGTGACCAGAAACTGGACAACCTTGTTAGCAGGACAGCCACAAAGTAGCCACAAAGTTTGGTTTTGATTATAACGTCTGTTTTTCTTCTTGAAGTCTGTTCTTTAAAATTTGATGTGCTCATGTAATTGCAATGTAGTCCAGTGCCCTGCATTACCTCCAGTATAGGGGGTTTGAGACTTTGCAGATGAGGAGAAGAGAGGCAGACAGACAGACTGACAGAGAGACACAGAAGCCCATAGTATGATAAATGATATCACTGATGGACTTTTCTGTCAGTGTATATGACTTATTGAATGCTTAAGCAGAAATATTACATGTTTCTTCTAACCCTTATTTCTCATAAAACTCAGCAACTAAAAACATAACTGGCATGTAATCTTTAGTGGCCATATATGCTTTCATCTTCTTTTCTATTTTCTTTAAAAGTCTGTAAGAGAAATACAAATGAAATTAGTGGTGTAAATTTTCATATCTCAATAGGTAGATGGATGGAAAAGATTATTAGTTCATTTACATTTCTGTGAATCCAAGATTTTTTGAAAGTGGCTGTTGTTTTGGAAAATATGAACAATTGGGGCAGGAGTCTCGTGTTCTTCTGGCATCTGGCTTGGGAAGTCTTGAGCTCTCCTTTTCTGAAATGCAGCCTCTTAAAACTGTCTTAAAATAAACATGACTCAAAATGAGGGCCCTGGAACTACTCATTGCTTTTGAAAAGCTGGTTGTTGGTTTTAATAGTTCCAGAGTCTCAAAATTACTACTTTCAGGTCTTGTTTACTGCTTTTGGGCATGAATTTTAGGTGTTACCTGAGTGACACTACTGCACATTTACAAGCAGACATTGTTGGAATAACTGGACAAGGGCGTCTCGCGCTGCTGTCCGCCGTTCCTGCTGATGCTGGCTGCCTGGCTGGGAAGCAGTGTGAGCTTGGTAGGGCCAGGGAGAGGACATAGGGGATCACATGGGGCTCTGCATTACTGAGATTCCCCATCCATCCTGTATTCAGGAGCTGCTGAAGAAAGTGCAGTGAGAAACTTTGGGAAGGAGGGCAGGAATCCAGGCCTTCCCTTCCCAGTAGAGCACACCATGCCAGCAATGTTGAGGGCTTTGATTTATTTTTCTTCTTTTTGGCCCTCAGCATTAACTTTATTGTATGGTTTCTGAAAGGCAGAGAAAGACCTACCACCTTCTGTTCTCTTCAGAACCCTCTGATCTGTTCAAATCAGAAAAATCCTCCAGGCTGCCCAGTGACAACATCTTGCATGTGAGTGACATTAAACCCAGCCAGGTCAACTTGCCTTATGAGGAGCTCTCCAGAAACAGCTGGAGAGAATTGTTATTTGAAGGCAGATACCTGAGCTATTTAAAAAGTCGCCCTGATGGCTGAACCATTGTCTCCATTTCTGAGTTACTCCCCTTGGCTGTGCGGGCTATTCCTCTGTTCCCTCACAATCACCTTTTCATTTCATTCTGACATGTTTGAAGTTTGGAGGCAGAGGGAATGAAGTGCAGGTTTTCAGGCTGCATAGGAAAATCCTAATACCTTAGACTCAACCATTGCTGATGAGCACAGGGTAAAAGAAAGATACTAAAGAAAAGAGGATTCCTCCTTCACCTAGCACATCTGTCCAGATGTGTGTTAATGCATCTGCTGCTGCTGTCACTGTTTTCCAGTAAGAACCTCTTGCTAAGATGATGTCTGTCTTCTCTGTTGTACTTTACAATTTTGTCAATGCCTGGTTTAGCATCCTCTTTCTGGATACTGCTTGTACAGTATGAAGACAGATGTAGATAAAAGGAGATCTCTAGGAGGTAAAATCTCTCCTTTTGGTGGAGGCCATTTTAATTTATGTAGGGAGGGGAATAGCAAGTGTACGTATTTAATGTTTAAGCACTGCCCTGCTTGAGTCATACAATTGTCTTTTTACCATTAGGTAAAAAGAAGGACATTACAAAAGTTTTGCAAAGATAGGTATTGTTGTGCATGGTCAAATGGAAAAAAAAGTCAAAAAGCCCCCAAAATTCAACCCTTATTTCCAAAGGCTGCTGTGTGCTTGGAACTGCCAATGAAATCAGTCCACTTATTTTTTTCTCTTAAACTGACTCATCTGAAGGCTGAGAGTGTCCTAGGATTTAACCACTCACAGAGAAATAAAACACCTCATCTAAACTGTTTGCATGTCGTGTTTGTTGATCTTGGGGAATTTGACAGCATCTTCGGGATGGTGCCTTCTAGTGTTTGAGTGTATGAGGTGAACTCACAGGGTATGTGTGGAAGCAAAAAACACCAGGGTGTAGTAGAGAGGCTTTGTTTTCCACCTCATCTGTGGCAGTGTGATTGTGTGGTTTTTAATGAACAGACCAGAGTAGTTACACTTAGCAATGTTTGTTCACTAAAAAGGAAAAGGGGTGTTAAATCATTATGTTCTTTGATGAATGGCTTGTACACTGAAGAATAAATTGAACAAACTGGCATAGAGCTCAGTGAACATGAAATCAGCTATTAGAAGAAAGCTTGTGAACAAATTCTAAGCCTGATATGCATCTTTTGATTAATGTCCTATTAATCATCCATAGTGGCTACCTTAGCTAAGTCATGCTGTAATCATTCATGGTTGCTTACAGGAACACTAGCAGGGACTATAGAGCTTCAATAACTGAATATTATTACTGATTTCTCCCTAACTCTTGCTGTGAACAATTACTGTTTTCACTACATTTCTGCCTCCCTTTATTAGAAAGAATACAATGCAGAATGAAAAGAGAGTTCCTCAAAGACCAGTAAAATTCTCCCAGGGTATTCTTAATGATATTCCATCCTAAATGGGCAAACTGTTGTAATGCAGAGTTCTCACCAGGAATAATAGTAATGTAATCACATTGAAGCTGTCTTTTTATGGATTATAGTCAAACAGACAAAATGTATAGTCGTATTAATGAACACAGAATTTCTGAAGAATTATTACTTAAAATGGTTGAAATGATTTTGGCTTTTTGTATCACAATATTTTCAGTTAATGCACTTAACAGCAACAGCAATTAAGACTCCAGACTGTTAATTTGGACAAATTTGACATTGGAAAAAGCCTTGATTCTTGGAAGATATAATGTCCACACCCCTCTCTTCTGAGACAAAATGTTTTATATTCCCGTGGCTTTTTTGAACTTGAACTCTGGTAGTTCAGTGTATTTTTTTTTTTTTAATCAATGAATATTCTTTTTCTTTTTTTTTTTTTCCCCTTTATGATTGGAAGCTATTGGCAAATATTTTCAGGAGGATCTCTTACTCCTGTGTGTGAAGATTTAGTTCCACACCATTTATTTCTCAAGTGTGACACAAAAGATGCTTTTGCACTACCCACAAAATAGGTCCTTAGATGGCTGTGTAATTTCCCCCTAAGTCACTGTGGTCTGGGAAATACGGTGAAGTAATGAAGTGATGACAGGTATTAACATACATAATGGGCTTTAATAGACATTTAATGTTGTTTAACTGGAAGAAGGAGAAGTGCTTTCCCATTGGAATATTTCTACATTGGAAGTCATTGATCACCGATTTCAGAGGGGAAAGGTTAATCCATCAGTTTCTGTAACCAAACGGCGCTGATGGAAATTCTTTAGGTGACATTCTGGATGAACTGAGCTTTCCATCTTTGCAAACAAATGAGTGATATGACAAGCATGGTGTTCAGAACACATTTAACCAATTGATTTTCTCTCCTCTTGTAATAAGATCTAGAGACATATGAAAAAGCGTAGCATGAGCCAAGATTAAAGGAACTGCTTCATACACACGAACATAGGGGAACTGCATTATCAATAAAAGTACCATAAAGCATGTAGGCACCCATTCTTTTTCTTTATATAAAGTTTGTTATTGCAATAAATAGCTGTTATTGAACTACCTGCCTTTTATTTCAGTTTTTCTGAATTTTATTTTGGTCCGCTTTCTGTGGTTTCCTGGTAGAGGTTATGAAAAAATGTTATGTTTTGTTATGGTAACATTTTTGTACTCACTAGTAAATCCAGGGCAACTCTGGATTTAAAATCAGGATTTATCATCCTTTGGGGCATGAAGAAGGATATGAGGGGGAGGGGGAAATCTGGCTTCAAGTAGTTTAAAGGTATCAAATATATTTTAAGGTTTTAATTTGTAAAGTTCCTTACCGTAATGATCCTCATCTTTTTCCTCCCTCTTCCCTCCTTTTTCTCCCAAATTCAGCCCTGCTCTGAGTTTCACATACCCTCCTACACCAGTATCCCTCCAGCAAATGCATCAGCAAATTATAAGTCGTCAGCAAACCCTAGGTTCAGCCTTTGGACACAGCCCTCCACTCATCCATCCTGCTCCAACTTTTCCTACCCAGAGACCTATCCCTGGCATCCCCAGTGTCCTGAACCCTGTCCAGGTCAGCTCTGGACCTTCTGAGTCCACACAGGTGAGAGACAACAAAAGAAACCTTTGTTTCCCATTAATTTAAAAATTAAATAAATGGCATTGTCTTGATGGCAATTAATCACCACTGTCACTGTCACCTTTGATAACAGCTTTCTTGTAGCTCCAGTGTTTGCAGTCACTTTATTATGAATCACAGGAGTGCAGTTGGTGCAGTTTCTGATTGGTAGTGTACTTTTTAGTCCTCATAAATATTCCAGTCTACTGCAGCAGCTTCTCGTTCCATACTGCCTCTCCTTGATCCTATACAGGAAGCTAGTAGAGGTGGGGAGTAAGAAAAGGGGCAAAACACATCAAAACAGCAATGTCTTAAAGGTTAGCAGCTTCACCTTCAAATCAGGCTGACCCTAGGATATACTGGGTCATATTCTGCCCTCCTTGTACAGCTGTGAGTAACCTGAAGCAAGTAATTCTATGAGCAAGAAAGTAACTCAAAGACAGAGAAGAGGATTGAAGTTTTTTACTCTGATTTGTGCCAAATTGGACTTACTGAGATGAATTAATCATTTCAGTAAGGTGTATTATCAAAGCTGGGAATGAGCAGCAGTGAATCAAGCCCCTAATGTGGAGTTTATCATGGTTTGTGATTTGCCTGTTATTAACTAGTGCTGTTTGTTTCTGGATGACCTGGGATAGGTTATTTATCAGTCTGGAAGCTGTTTATCTCCTGGCTAGCTTTTACAAATATAGAGGAAGAACATACTGCTGTAGAAAACATATTGATTTTTTTGTGGGGTCCCTGCAAGTTCAGATATCTCTAAAAGATCTCTGGATTCCTACAAGATCCATTTGCAGGTGTAGATAATGGTGTTCAGTCGAGCAGAACAAGAGAAAAAACAAGATTCTGGCCTGTTTATGTCAACTATTTTGCTATTAACTTGTGAGAATCCAGGACTTCATCTAGGATTTTTTGGCTGAGTCTCATGCTAGCATTCAGTTCTTCTTCCTATCCACCTATTATAATGGGAAACAGTGAAGAAGCTGAGATCTTGTGTGAAGATATTAAATGCAAAACCTTTCCTTCAAGTGTGAAGAAATGAATGTTTCTCTTGTGTTTCTTGGAGCATGCAGGGATTTTCCTTTTCAAAATTGCCTTTCCAAATTTGTCATTATGTGGAAAATCACCTACTCTCACTGCTCTGACTAAACTAGCACTGGTTTGTAGCAAGGAATTGCATCAAATGCTCCCCTTCCCACTCCCTCCCTGCTCTGCTACCAGGCTGAGCAATGCAGCTCTTCCATGAGTTAAAGCTATGTAACTGAAGAACAATGTTATTGCATATCCAATATAATTAACAGTGCAGCTTCTCCGTACAAAGTTGCTGAGCAAATGCTACGTTATTTTTGTTTGGAGCCACATATTTATCACAGTCTAATTTTGTCTTCTTCTGGGGGAAAAAAAAATCCCCCCCTGTCTGCAGCAGAACAAACCCACAAGTGAATCTGCAGTGAGCAGCACAGGAGACCCCATGCACAACAAGCGCTCCAAGATAAAGCCTGACGAGGACCTCCCCAGCCCAGGAGCAGGAAGCATGCAGGTATGGCAGCCAGATTCCAGGCATGAGCCTTCCCTCTTGCTGCTGGAGTGAAAATGCACCTTTCCTGTGGCACACAGGTTTTCAGGCTCCTTGCACTGTGTGCTGCACACACGGGCAGCCTCAGCTCGCAGCAGCCGGGGTTCAATGGGAGCAGCTCCTGGGGTGCAGGGTCTGTGGCAGGATGAGGGCAGAGAGGAAGGAGAGGATGGAGAGGCACCTCTAAACAGTCAGAGGATGCGCAACGCTCTGTTTGCCATGGAAAAGTGAACAAGAGACATTCAGGTCTTTATTTAGGACATGTTTTCTGTTCAGCAAAAATACTTAAGGCCACCTTGACTTTTCCTGGGTCTTAGTGCTGTTCTGCACTGAGACCCCTGTGTCAGGCTCCAGTCTCGTTTGCAGTACTTTCTATACCAGTTAATGCCTCTGGTTTTAGTAGAGTGACTGTTGATTTACAGTGACTCAGGGGAGATGAGAATCAGAGCCTCAGTCTTGTGAGTGAATCCATGAAAACAAAGCAGAGGTCTGCCTAAATCCTTCAGCAGGTTTGAAATGGAAAAATAGCGGGAGTGCATAATCTGAACCAAATGTTTACGCTAACATCTGACTCTAACCCTCAGCAAATAACAAGCTGGCAAGAATGAGGCACCCTTATGAACTGGAGATGGGAAATATAACCCCAAAATTAGATACTTTTGCCCACTGCTCACCCCTTTTATGCACATGTTAAGGGCAAGAACAGACTAACAGATAACTCAGAAATCACCAATCTGCTCTTGAAAAGGTTTTCGCATGCAAACCTGTTACTGTTCTAACAATGGAAACACACTGGATTACTGGTGATGCAGTTTCTGTCCAACCCTAGTGCTAAAATCAAATTCCAATTAATTCAACTATATTGAATAGTGCCTTTCACATTAGTGGTGCCACTGAGTCATGAAAGCCAGGTGCACAAATAACAAGCTGCTTAAATAAAGCCAGGCCATTATGATTTATTTTTAATTGAAATGTAAAGGGTATGAAGAATTTATTTAACATGTATAGTTTGCAAATGGCTTCTGGCTTATCAGGCCTGTTTTGGGCTTCTGTATTTTGTAGAATGGAGTAGCATAGTGGAGTGAGAGTCAAATAATCCTCCCTCCCCTGCCTCCTCCACACACACCCATCATCTTTCTTTTAATGCTGAAGTAATTCACTTTTCTTCCTCCTCAGTTTCAGAATTTCCTCTCTCTTCTTCTCACCCGTTTTTTTCCTCTCTCCAGGAACAGCCAGAAGGAATGACCTTGGTAAAAGAGGAAGGGGACAAAGATGAAAGCAAACAGGAGCCTGAAGTGGTCTATGAGACAAACTGCCACTGGGAAGGCTGTTCCCGGGAGTTTGACACGCAGGAACAGCTAGTGCATGTAAGTTAATGGTATTCAGGAACTGGGTTTTAAAACTACCTGACCTTTTTCATGGGGGTCAGCTTCTCTGACCCTATGCTGAGTCAAGTTTCTTAGCTAACAGAGCTGCAAACTGGAGAGGGGTTTATGAGTTTCTGAGAATAAAGAAAACTCGAAGCCACAGTGCTTGACCTGTTCAGTCAGCTAAAGCTTAGTGTAAAATTCAATAAAGTCTTCCACAGAGATTGTAATGGCTCTGATCCTGTAAGCCAGCAAATGCTATTTTGAGTTAGAGACTTTGATAGTTATTGAGTAATAGTAAGCTGGACATGAATGATTATTAACCTTTAGCCAAGTTTGATTTTTTTCTCCCCAAAGGGGCTGTAACAGTAGAAATGGGTGAGGGGAATTTTTTCCCTTCCCTAAGAGAGGTTTTGCTATCAATTTACTGTTGTGTGTAAGCCGAAAGGGATTATTTGGCTAAATACATGAGGACTGAATTACTTCAGTCATTTTAGCAAAAGCAAACTGTGGAATCTTTTCTGTACTACACCAAATATTAATTCTATCTCCCTTGTTTTTTATTCCTCTCTGCCACCTCTCCCAAATAAACATTTTGTACTGTTTGGTAGTATTGTAAGATAGAAAGTGAGCAATCAAAATTCAGATGACAACCTGACAAGTACAATCCCTTGCAGTTCTAACCTCCTTAACTAGCAGCACCTCTCCTGTTTACTGGCATCATAGAACATATTGAATACTCTGAAAAAAAATGGAATTCCTAGTACAGAACGGAGAGAAACATCCTCAGCAAATGAGCAGTGTGACAGAATTGTATTTAGTTTAGAAAACTGTTTAATACTTTACTGGAGATCATGCAAAATCTATTAGAGAATGTGGCTAGTACTTCTGAAATAACTAGTTGAAAAATCCACCTTTTCCCCCAAAATAAATAAACACAAACCCACCATATATTTCCAAGCACTATGCCAAATGGTAAGCTTATCCTGCAAAGCTGACTTTAGTAAAGCAATGTCAGCTTTCACTTTCTGTACTGTGAGAACCTCTTGGTGTTGCTGTTACTCATCAAGATGAATTTTCAGGTTCTTGTTATTATTAAGTAGTAGCAGCAGCAGCAGTAACAACAATAATGATAAATGAAAGACTATCAACAACTAAAATAATATGAAAAATGTGACATTTTCCCAAGAATTCTTTGAGACATTTTGCACACATAATGCCCTAGCATTTGAATAGGCCAAGTTGAAATGTGAGGAGAAACTGTTTTGGTGTCACAGTACCTTTTGGGGAAGAAATGCCATACAAATGGCTTCTGTAGATGGTTTGACACATTTAAATTAAAAGATCAAATGTTGGTCTTTGAATTGAATCTGTGTAAACAGACCAAAGACATCATATGGGGCTCTGCATAGGCACAGTGTTTATATCTGCTAGCAATTGTAAGGCTGAAGCTTTATGAAACCTGGGAAACCTTTCAGTATTCAGAAATTATCCCAGTGATGATGGTAAATAATATACACAGAAAAATATGAAATAAAAGAGAAATCCAGAATAAGGATACCCTTGGCAATAAAAAAAGAAAAATTGTTTTTGATGTTCCAGGTGTAAAATTTAATGGAAGTCCACTAAGCATGTTAACTAACAGCTTGTGTTTTGTATTTTAACATGAATTAAATTGACAGGGTAGTAGTTTAGTTCTTCTGGGGTGTAATTTTAAAATAAATTTGTTGGTTTTGGTGGGATTTTTATAGCAAATCTGCCCGCATTTTAATGGTCAACAGCAAGACTGAAAAAAGTACATTTCTTGTGCTTCTGACAAATGGCAACATCTGAAACAAATTTCTCTAGACATAGAAAAGGAATATAAAAAAGTTTTTCTATGACACAGAACTCTTTTTGGCAGGGCTCAGGATTCAGGTGTGTTATGATGGTGTTTAGATTACAAGGTGCAAGACTTGACTCTATACCCTGAAGACAATAAATTCATCATGGCAGCCATCACATTTAAGTAGCACAAATCATGCTGTAGGAGTCAGCGGGGTTCAGTGATGGGGCCACGGTTTGTGATTTCCTTTGCTGCTCCGGCAGAGCCCCGCTGGGGGGACTTGAGCGAGTTATTTCTGCCCAGAATTGCAAAGGGCTTTAGACACCTCACTCTGTTTGAAAGCCTGGCCACTCACCCCAGTCTGCCTTTTGCACATTTTGTCTGCCCTTGATTGCCACAGCCCTCTGATGTACATCTGCAGCAGCTAGGGATGTGAAGTCTGGTCTCAGCAGGGCTTCACGGAAGGGCAGTGCTGGTTTTGCCTAGGTGTGTCACTCTGGCAGAAAGTGTTCTGTCCCTGAGCATTAGGTCCTTGAAAATCTGAGCTGAAAAAGTGGTGTGGCTCATGGATGCCTCCTATCCAAATACTGTAGGTAAATCCAAGTAGATGTAAATTGCTGCAGCTGCACTTAAATCAGTGTCAGCACAGTTCTGAGTGCTGTGTGTGTGCCATGAGCCAGGCACAGGCAGAGGCACGGTGTGTGTCTCAGGGCCCATGCACATGCTTGTCTCCACAGCCCTGACACTCTGGTAGCACCTGGTGGTCTCACCAAGCCCAAAGCCTCTCAATGTCAGACACTGCTCAAGCATGGCCGGAGGAGTGCCCCTGACACGAGCCTCAGGTCTTTCACCCTGGAGCTCTGGGGCCACATCCATCAGGCTGTTTGTGCTGTCAGGGGCTACCTGATCTGGCAGCAGAGTTCTGCCACCATGCCTTTCCTGGCTGCACGTGCTGCTGCTCTCCTGGTGATCCCCTGCCCACTGGCAGACTCAGCAGGCCCTGAGCTGCTCCAGCTGAGCTTGAAAAGCTTGAAGGTTTGGAAGTAAGATGCTGGACAGGATGTCAAAAGTGTAGATAACCATCCGGGTTTGTTGATTCTGCTGTGGGGTAGTAATCCCCAAGGCAGGGGCAACTGGCATAGATAAAGGTAATAAAGGCTTAAATTGCCCTAGCAAGACTCATCCACATAACATCTGCCATCTTTCTGTACAGTTGTAACCATGCATAATAGCAAGAGATCAGACCCAGGATGTCCAATGGCACAGGACAGTCTGTTATCCAAGCCTTGCTTCCCAATGCACTGAAATTTTGGAGGAACTGTGGTGTTAAGGGAAGAGATGCTGCACACAGTTCATGGTATAGATGGCATTACTCCTACTATGTATAGGATGTATACACAAGCACATGTGCATTTGTTTTGAAAAAGATAAATATGAGTTTTATATTCTGGTCTTTCTGTCCTATGTGGATAGCTTTGTTATTTCTTGAGGAACTTTGAGACATAATTTACTTTGAAATAAACTGTGGTTAAATCAGCATTACAAAGTGATATGTGACTTAGCATGTATGAAATGGTAAAGGCAAACAAAATCTGTGTCTAAATATGTGGTATAGCTTTAGAGCAGAAACTGCAGTGTTGTGCAATTTCAGTAGTCAGCATTTGATATAATTTTCTGCATTTCTGTAGTAAAGTCCTGCAGTTATTAGTGTAAAATATAGGGGCCACTGAAAGTGTTCTTCGGTCCCAATGTTTTCTGACTGAATTTGTAAACAGAATCTGAGCTGCTATGAATAAATAACTGAAAAGCTAATACCTAAAAGAATCATTATTGACCCACCCAGAAGGGTCTGAATGTGACATTTTGGCACAGGTGCTCTTATTTTCAAGTGATATGAGCCACTTAGAATTCAGCATGGTTAAATTTTCATGATGCGTGCACCTAAAGGCAAGGTGTTAAACCATCAGACGCTCTGCCTTATTTATAACACCTATCCATCCTTCCTCTCCCCCCTCCTTCTCTTACAGTTAATAGAAAGATTCATGATTCTTCATGGTTGTCTATCTAGCGTCTGACAGTACCGACTGCACTGCTAAAGCAAGTCACTATCTATAATTGATATCCTTCTATGGAATAGGGTACTGGCTGCAATTGAAGGGTTTTGCTGAAAGCTTTTAAATCCTGACAAGTTCTGCCCTTGTTCTGGTTGTTGCTGAGCTGCACTGCTGAGATCCCAGGGTTATTTGAAGTTGATGCAAAGGGGCGCGTGTGTTACACATTAGCAAGGCACAAAGTTGGCATGCCACGTTGGAGCTGCCACTGCATTCTCCCCCCACGTAGTCTTATTTACAGTGCACTGCTCTCCTGGAAAGGCTGCTTACATTGATGTTTGAAATGTCTATTAGAGGTTCCTTTCTATCCCTTTTTGATTTTCCGCAAAAAATTAAAAGAACGATCTTATTTATTTTAAAGCCTCAGTTTGCTGCTGGGGTCTTTATCATTCAGCTGTTTAATTAATTTCTCTGCCCAGCGAGATATTATAATTGGGCTTAGCTGAGCTCAAGTTTGTTTTAAATATGTGAGCGCCTAGAAGCTAATAAGATATTGTATATATTTATAAATCTGCTTTTTGTTGCAGTTTGTCCCTTTTTTTCCCCCAGAAATCAGTTAAGAATAAAATATTGCAAAAGGGTTAGATGCTGAAGATAAAAGTTTACTTAAGAAAATTATCCTTCAAGGAAATGACTGAATTTATTGTTAAATATTAATACAATGGCAATCAGAAAAACGCAGTGCTGCCTATTTCTCATCCCCCTTGCTGCGTAGCCTTGATGATAATTATTTTTTATTCAAAAACATGCTTGAAGAACTGCAGAGCTATTTTTTTTGTTAGTGTTTTCTCCTGAATTTTACAGCAATAAAATTCTTTCATTGTTGCTACATTTGATTAGATGAGATCAAAAAGCCCTAAACTATCAGCAGTGGCTTATATTCAGGATTCCATTTGCCGAGGTCTTCCTGCCTGTTTGCAAAGCCTAGTTGACTGGAGCACTCCCCTGGCAATCCCCTGGGATTGTACTTCTACACATGGTTCCCTTATTGCACCAGAGGGCAGCTTCTTGTGTTTTTCAGGTACCCCGTTTGTTCCCAAGGCATCACAGTGCACTGAGGGTAC